TAGATCCAGTTTCCATACCTATGCTGACGTTTCTCATCTCCTGTGTGACCTGGACTTCCATGTTCCGGCTGTTCCGCTTTTCTCGTGCCCTCTTATTGCTCTTGGTTGTGCCATTGAATTCACTGACAGGCTGGATGCTCTCATTGAGGGGGGTGACAGCAGCAGAGGGCACAGATGACGTGGGAGTGTTGGACTTGGTTCCAGTGGTGCTCGGTGTGGCAGCTGCTGAGGACTGTCCAGATTCGGACATTTCATCTTGGGGGCACTACAACAATTCCAGGGTGGGAGAAGAACAGAAAGGGAAAAGCACAGCTATACGTTTCAGTTAATTTCCCATGTGTTGGTTATGGCTGCCTTAAAGCATTATGGCAAAATGAGTTTCGTTCACCAAACCAACTAATGGCCAGAGCTTACTGGTCATGTTTGGCACTGCAACCACAATGAAGCAGTGAGTTCTCGTGCTGAACTCAGCAAGCAAATCCTACCTAATTAAGGACTAATTCTTTTCTTCCTGTACTGCTTAGCACTGGTCTCCAGCAGCATCAGCATGCGATYGACTCATCTCACATCCCAAAGACGATGGTTGTATCAAAGGTGAAAAGCACCTGCTATTCCCACTGACTACAGTGGAAGTTTTAGCACCTCCTTTAGCACTTGTAAGCCAGGCCAACATTTTCCAAGACTGAAAGGCAACAAGATACTGCTTGGAAAGGATCTGAATTGGCCTTTTATAGGTTCCGGACACTGTCATTACTAYAAGTCATTCAACAAGTGGACTGATAGCCCTTTAAATGAACAGAGAAGCATTTTTGACACCAAACTGCAGAAGCAAAGTGGATACAAGTTGGGATGATCCGAGTTTGCTGTATGGGAGACCTATGTCCACCTATCACTTTATGCAGAAGCCAGCCAGGCATGGATCCAGCTTGACAAGAGAAGAAGCAGGTATGATCCCCTGACTTCAAAATGACAGAAGACAAGACCCAAGAATTAAAAAATCAGAAGTTTACAAATTAACACATGAGATGGATTTCCAGTATGAAATGTGCATGAATGGGTCTTAGATTTGTAGACATGACAGCCCCATTTCTTGCAATACCACCTCTTGAAAAACAGGGCAGGCTTTAAGGACTGTCAGCATTTAACACTGTGACCTTTGTTTGTCACTTAAAGCAGCACTGCCTCATAGTCCRGTAATTAACTTCCTAACCAAAGGAGTAATCACGCCCTAATCCAAAAGAGATCTCCCTGTTCTTCATGTAGCCCACTAATTACTGACAAAATAAATTTTCAGTGCAATATGTGATAATGAGTTGCAACTGGGTGCAGTGACATTTAGAAGCTGGACACACAGACCCAGCTACAATCTTTACTGTTTGCCTCTTCTCTCCTGTGGAATTGATAGGAAGCTTCTGATTCTGTTCAAGGGCTGGTTCATGTCTCCCAGTCTTGAAGCTGTGATGCTGTTTCACTTCACTAATTTGGAAGTTTCATTCTGTTGTTCTAATAACAAATTCATAATGGGACCAAAAATAAAAAAATCACAATGGGATGAAACAGAAGACTAAAAAATGGTGACTTAACCCTTTGCAGCCATGTTTTCCTTTTTTAAACCTGAACTCTTATTAATATATTCCTTTAATTAGACTGTTTTCTGTGTACATGAAAATATCTTGCTTACTTTGCACTACAGAAGTCAAAGGTCTTACACTGMGTCTGTGCCTTTATATTGGAAATCATCTTTTTAAAACTCCATTACCACTAAATATGACCCACATTTTTGGCATACTGTTCTTGGATTGTCAGTCCAAACAACACCCACATTTCTACATGGACTTTCAAATCATCTCCTTGCACATTTTCTGATTTTGAGCATCAAAACTGATGGGGACATTTTACTTAGGCTGCTACACGTGAAAACCACACTTCCCACCTCTACTTCATATTCAGGTTCCAGGAGCTATTTTKCTAACGTGCAAAGAAAAAATACCAAACCAGAGGCAAATATGACCCACTAAAACCTTGTGCTAGTTCAGTTGCAATCTGCCCACTGTGCTTTCTAATTTACAAAGGGACAAAGTACTAAGTATAAAGTGCAATTATAAAGTCTCTTTTCCACAAACAAAACTTCTCTTGTTTGGAATTCAGAGCTGTTCTTGTAGTTCTTGTACCCCTTCTATGTCTACAGGATGACTGTGCACTGTAAAACAGACACTCAGTTGGGTCCAGTGTCATTCCATATTCTTCGGGGTGATGATGTCATTCAGAGATGCTGTATTATCAATGTCTACAGGGCAATACTTGTATCAGAAACATACCCTGTAACCTCTTATTTACTGACATGCCCTTCCCCTCACCCAGAACGCACCAGAGATCACCCTGATCGTATGCTTACCCTTTCATTAGACATCTGAATTTTACATTTACCCATAAAACGTCCTTCATACACCTACTAGCCTGCTTTGGAGGAATCCACTCTCAGACTGTCAATACTACCAAGGCACTCCTCTTAACTATCCAGAAGCTTTACGAGACTTTGCTGAATCTTCTTCCTATTTTCCTGAGTGCAATATTAATACTAAATATTTCACTAAGTCCACAGCTCTCCTTTGTAGCTGAGGAAGTGTTCTCCATAACCCATAGCTCACCCCAAAAACACTCTCCATAACCACCACTTACCTACAGCCATACCTGTCAACCTCCTAAACATCAAATGTGTAGTAGTGACCTCCAAAATGCATTGCAAAGGCCCAACATTCATAGCAGTCATATGTCACCATGAGTAGCCACAATTGTATGGTTACAACACTGAAAGCATAGTACATAAAAACAAAAACGTTAAGGATTTTCATCTCTAAAACATTACATAAAATAAAGGTACAACTAAATGCAAAAATAAAATAATATAATAATAGAAATCAAAACAAAAAAATAGGTAAGGATGCTTAAGATAATAATTACAAATATCACCCATGGAGAAGGAAAACTAGTCAGAAGATTCAAGATACACACTTGGGGAAGGCAAGTGATGTGTATGCAGTTAATGTCAGCAAAATATCAAAGCTGCTGAGAAGAGAAGAGGAGCACATCAGCAGTAACGCTGAGATTTCAGCCATGCAAAATACTTAAGAAACAGCATTCCAGTCAGAGAGTGCATAAGAAGTCTGCAGGAGGAAAATCTCCATTCCAAACTGCAAATCTAGTAAGTTAGTCAAGTCCTTCAACTATTCATTATGTTTGCTCTGTCCTCTTAGGAAGATCACCATAATACTCCATCCACCTGAGTGTTCCAGAGCCAAAGCACTCCAGCTGCACCTATTAATTAGCCTGTCCAGTTCCCAAATTTCTCTAGCAAGCACCAACAGCGAGCCCAGCGCTACCTGTCAGATTGTCCCAGAGCAGCACACCAGAACCTCAGCACGATGCTCCCCAGTAACCCAAAACGGAGTTTTGGTGACACCACCACCAACAGATTACAAAGAGATCCAGTCAGTAACCCCTTATCTGAATGGGTTTTCATTTATCTGAATTCCTGTCACATTCTCCTGTAATGTGGATCCCRAATTACTGCTGAGTACCACTCAACAATTACTAAAAAGCTTTTAGAGCTCTGCAGCAGCACAGCTGAAATAATTAAATCTTAGCAAGTCTGTGGAAGATGGATCAAACCCCAGCTTCCTCCCAGCTCTCTCCTAAAAGCTAACTCCTGCAGCACCCGCTTTAGCAATAGAGAGCTCTGGGTTGTGTTTACACCATACAGTCAGGCACCATGTTGGAGATCCCAAGAAACAAATTAACTCCAGAATGAGCAGCAGCCCAGTCTCTGTAACGTTTGGTGCTGTGCAAGTCCTTGCAGCAGAGCTGTGTTGGCACAAAACTATCTTCCTGGAAGGAAAATGTTCCTAGTACACCTTCGTTTCCCATTTCTAAATTATATCAGGGTATTGTTACATTGCTACTCCCTGCTTTCAGGACTGCACTCCAGAAATTATTGTAGGATCTGATGGACATTTTGTGAGATGCTATGGGTTTGACAGTTTTCCCAAAACTGTGCGCCCTCAACACCAAAGTAATCTTTGGATTCCAAGAACAGTCTCCATCCTATCCAAGGATCTTGCCTATGCCCACATTATACTTTTAGATTTTCAACTTTTTGCAACAGCAGAGGGTTGATGCAGTGCTAAGGTCTGCACTTTTCCTGGCTGCTTCCCAAAGGCAGAATTAAAAAAAGAGAAGCTGCTGCCTCGGGTTCCGCATACCTTTCTGAATTTGCCTTTCTTGTGCTGTGCCTTCTGCACAGTCCCTCAGGCCAAAGCGTCATTAGCACAGTCTGGAGACATGCAGAAGAGCTATAACAACTTTTTTTTGTGGTTTTCTTTTTAATCCTCTGCCTCTTTATTATTTAATGGATTTACAGGATTATTGATTTGCAACTTTTCAAAAGGAAGACAATCTCCTTTTAGGTTGCTCTAATACACGACATGAAATACTTAGGTTCTACAAAAAACAAGTCAGGGACAGAATATTCTATTGAACACTTCTACAGCAGACCTGGAAGCAGCTCCAGACTCTGTGGATATTGGTGGACATGCTGCAAGCAGAGCTGGCTACACGTGCCAAAGGCTGTCAGGTTGACCACAAGGGATTTGTGGAACATCACTCAAAGATGAAATTTGGTAAGATTCTGATCTAGTGAGGTATTAGTCAGCATATATAGTCTAAAATGTGAACAAAAGGCACAGAATTGTCAACTGAGATCACAACTTCTGGGTTTTCAGGCCCAATATAGTCTCTGAAGGTATAGCAGAGCATCACAAGCAATAGGCAGGACAATACAGCTGCTTCAGTGCAGGTGCAATGCTGTGAGGTTTTTGGCAAGCTTCAGTGCAGAAAACAGTAAGTTGAAGGTAACAAATGCAGGTTTAGAGCAAACTAAATGTATGAGAAAATGAAATACCTGAAGTGCAGTCTAGGACTTGGATATTCAAATAAGATTAAATCCCTTCTTACTAAACACAGTAAATCCAAAATTGTTGTCACTTAGAAAGAACAAATACTGGTGAGCAAATGCTATGCAGTGCCTGGTCTCAGCTGAAGTGCAGAAGCACTGCTCTTATAAACAGGGTGGGGTAGACAGGTTCAACCATTTCTTCTCCCAAGTAAACTATAAAAAGCAATGGATTTGTCTTTCCTATATTCCTAACTGCCTCCCAACACACTCCTTTCTACTTGGTGCCAGCCAAGTAAAGGAGATTAAACACTGGGGTGAGAAGGTGAGAACAAGCATGATGAACTGTCAGATCCCTCCCTCACCATAAATCACATCTGAAAACCACTGGCCTTCCACCTACAGCACAGGTACCAGAAAGAGCAGATCCCCAGGAAGGAGAGGCTGCAAAGGGTTATGGACACAGACTGGTCTCTGTCTTAATGAGAACATGGGATGCTATTGACAGCTGGAGAGTGGGAAGCCCTTGCTCCGTGATGGTCTAGAAAACCTTGTAGCTGGAGTTGGACTGCAGCTGGCCGAGGTCACTCAGGTGCCAGTGGTCCAGTGTTGGGACGATCTTGGCCCCTATCTGCCCACGTACCATTCCATCCGCGAGGGGGAAGACGTTCAAAGAGTTAGGACGCTCCTTCCTGCTAAACAGAGAAGCAGAGAGAGGGAAAACAACTGGTTAGCCACTCACAGGCTTCTCAGGGAAAAGAAACCACACGTTAGCTCATGTGAAATACTGGTCACCAGAAACTGAACTGCACTCTTGCCTCTCACTTGATAGCTGTGCAGACACCCACGCTTCCACTGTGTCATCTATTTAGCCCCATGGCGCCTATTGCTGAGGCGCTATATCTTCCTGGGGAGACCCTACAGAATGAGGAAGGGGCCAAAAGACCAAAACAGACACGACTTGCTTCACAGCTGATATAAAAGATTCTCTGGGAATGAAAAAGAGCAACAGATACTGAGCCAATTTAAGTCATTGTATCCTCTGAGAAACAGAAGGCATTATAGGAAAATAAGCCAAAGCAAACTCCCTTCTGTGAATATCATACAGCCGACACCTCAGAGTGCCCACAGATCCTAGAGACCTTATCACGGAGTCATGGAAGAGGCTTAAGTGAGCATTACCTACGTTGCATTGCTGTGTATCCCAAATCTGGTTTGTCCCAACAGCAGAAATCAGATTTTTGGATTACTTAAGGACGAAAATCATTAAGCAGATTACTTAGGGAAGAAAAATAGCAATTATACTCTCTGATCATCTCCTCATATTGACAGCTCATTCAAATTCAGGACATAAATAAATATACAAACGAACACATCAGTCACATGGCCAGATGTCCATAATGGTTTTCTTCACCTCTCATTTTTTTTCTAACAATCTGAGGTGACTAGCAAGCTTTGGGTCTGACTGTTAGTAAAATCAGCTGGCACAGATTTAGAGATTAAGTTCCAGCAGGAGAAAATCTAGAGCAAGTAGTGGAGGCAGCAAAGGCTGCAGCAGGAGGCCAAAAGCAGCAGTCGTTTTTGTGCCAGGGAGGCAGGAGCAGAGGGCCGCACCACAGATCTCTGCAGCAGCCTCCACAGCTGGGCTCCAGCAGCCCTCCAGCAACAAACCAGGCTGATCCTCAGGGCAATATATGCCCAAAACGAAAGCAATAATGATACTTCATCAATTCTTTTATGTGTCTATCCCCCTTTGCTCAGATTCCCACTTACTGGTACAGGAAGAGGTAAAATCTCCCTACATGAACACCAGAACGAGCAACGCTAGAGCTTAATGTGCCTTTCTTTAATGATTATCAGTATTGGTCTAATTGCTGTGAAGGAAAAAAAAAAAAAAAAAGACGTTTGGTTGTGTGAAAGGTGAACAGATTTTCCCAATAAATCAATATTGAGACTTCAAAAGCAAACTAGGCAGATGGGCTCGTGTTGGAGTCAATGCACAAGGAACAGGGCAGGAGTAACGTCCTCTCAAACGCAGAGGCAACCCCTGCTCAGGAGGGCTCCATGCTGACCCTGTGGGATACTGTTCCTGGAAGCAGGAATCATTCCTCCTCAGACCAGGCCAAGCACCCGTTAAAACTGCTCCTCTTGTGACCATGCATTAAAAATGACTGCAACAAAACCGATGAGCCCCAAGATCTGTGCAAAAGCACCAACACAGAGGCTGATGCAAGGGCCTGCTCATTTACAGAGAAAAGGCGGAATGTGAATAGAAGAAACAATGTTTGTGTACAAAAATCTAAATACCCAGGCATCCCCTCCTCATTGCCTCATTGACTCAAGGCACTTTGTTTACACGCCAGTGTAGTTCATGGTGAGGAATAGTTGCTTGCTGGGGCCCATCTGTGACAGGCAGAAAGAGTAGAAAAGTTTTTCCCATCTAGATCAGCAAGAAAATCTAAAATCCACAATTAAATCTTCTTCTGAAGATCCTTAAGATTCATACGTGGAAGTTCCATAGAAAATGGACAAACTCTCTCACAAAGGAGCACATAAATGTGGATTTTAATGGATCATTAACCATAGACATATCCCGAATAAGCTTTCTTTGGTTTGAAGAGTAGATACAATCACCTTTCAACCGATTCAAAAGCAGATTCACGTATGATTTGGATTATTGGTTTCATTTTAGCCTTTCCACTCAGAAGAAATCCCTATAAAATGCTGATTACTTTTGAAAATTAGCAGTCACTGTGGACTTACAGAAAACATTCAGTTTGCAAGTCAAATTCTGTCCCATGTAAGGGACTCTTTAACAGTTGATTAGCTCTGGCTAGTGGCCAAACATGGGATCAAGAAGCTTTTTCAGCAGCATCCTAATGCTTATAAAAAATAAGCGAATTGTTTCTCAACACTAGAAGATGAGAACTGCTCTCTTTGTAGGCTTAGGGCAGAGGACTGGGGCAGAAGTGCCTTCTGAGGTCACCACCAGCAGCATGCATCTCCGTCCTGCTTAGGAAACATGGATGCTTTGTACTCTGTGGTAATCTAAAGGAAAAAAGATCTTCAAACATTCAGGGATGGGAAATGTAAACACCTGAGTGCACAGGACTGATTTGGTTTGGGGATTAAAATTCACTATCTTTTGCTTTTGAGCGCACGAGCTTCTTCTGACTTACTAACGCAGCAGTTTGTGGGTTCCCCTTACACCAGCCTGACAAACTGTCACCTGCGTGAGCAAGTCTAACACAGATCCTGGTAGGCAAACAGGCTGGTGCAGTACATTCCCAGCACTCAAGTGCAACCTCCAGAATGGTTAACAAAATCAAGATGCAGCAATAGGATTTACCTTTTCCTCCATGACTGGCGATGACTGCAGTGACAAACATAACAGCCAAAACAGAGCAGCAACCGCACAAGAAGCGAGACAAAAAAACAACCATTAGAGAGCCAAGGTCATGCAAACGTGCAGCCCTCCGACGGCCACGGCGTGTCCGTGCCCCACACGGAACGGCAGACCCCGCTCCTCACCCCTCTCCAACGGCCAGAAACAACCCAACCCCAACACCTCTTGCACAACCATTTCTCCAAGTGACAGATGTACTCAGAGCACTCATGGGCTYATGGAAATATGCATCTATGGGGAATAACCACACAAAAGGCACCCAAGCACATCTAGGAATGAAAATGAACMAGTGGACACAGAGTCCTTGGAAGGCTGTAAGAAATGCATGTGTTTTCTCCCCACAACACACATCAGTGCTCCACAATGCACAAATRCAGGTGCTCATCCATACGCAGCTGCGTGGTGACACGGAAACTCACACCCAGCAATGCTTGTGCTAATACAAATAGACACACACACACACACACACAGGAACAGTGCAAAGCTCGAAATGAAGGAAAAAGCCTCGTTTCCCTGGGGTTGTTCATATAAATTCAGCTCGGAGCCTTGTCAGGGACTTTGATAGACATAACATGTCTGGCCTTTCTGTGCCATTTCTCTGGCACAGAGAAGCAACTGCTGATGAAAGCTTTTCTTTTTCCTTTATATACATTCTGTAAAAAGGCTCCAGAAGTCTTAATGTGATTTTATGTTCTCATTTTTAACTGCTTCAGAGTAAGAGCAGGATCTTTGAGATACCAATATGTTCTAGGCATGAGTTCTTCTGGCCAGAACCACAAAGTATCTAATTGTGGTGATGAAATAGCAACTTGACACTACTTCAAAAGACAAAACCTTTACTTTTTTCCTGGCAGAGATGGGACGGTGATCATGGATCAAGCATCAGTTGTTTCCCTTTTAGGTAAAACTTTTTCATTTTTGAAAAACAATTCTGCAGAGGAGGCATTTGCAGGAGATGAATTCTAGAATTCTGAAATCCTTGGACAAGGGGCTGAGAAAGGAGCTCCTCCAGACCTGTTCACAAGCCTCCTGACCCAATTCCYTATGAGTCAGATTCAGAACTGCATTGTAAAGCAGAGACATGCAGGAGAAAAACCAGGCGAGTCAGCCTGCCTGTGAGCTGAGCAGAAAATGTTCAAATCTGTGATCTTTCTGCCCCTGTGATGCTGTTAAAACTTTTCTGCCTACTGAATGTCTGTGGGGCTACCGTTACGTAGAGAGGTTCTCGCTAAGAACTAAAGAAATGGGAAAATGAACTTGCATATTACTTCAAACCAGGCTGTGTCATGTCTGCTCTGAAGCTCGCAGCTCTCCCAGTCCCTAACTGGGACACAAACAGCAGCAGGCTACAAATGCAGCTATCAGCAAAGCTATTCTTCCCCCTAACTGGCATTTCCCACCCACCTGGAAAGATCTGGCCTGTCTGTTCCCTCTCAGTCGCGGAGCGCTTAGCAACTCCTGCGCAGGCATCTCAGCAGAGCCCCACAGTGCTGGACTTCGAGTTGAATTTCTCGTTGTTAGGGAGCACAAGTATGTCACCAGCAGTGAATAAGTGATGGATTCTTTCCTAATCTAGCAGGGTCTCTTGCCTTCCATTCAAATCATGATGCTCTGGCAGAAAACAATGTGCTAGTCAGGGGATGAATATCAGGGCTGCAGGGGATCTGGCAGGAATCCCAGGCTATTTACCAAAGTTTCTGAAGACACATGGCTGCTACTGCTCCCTTCCTCCCCAAGCCTCTTTCATGGGGGGTGGCCTTCTCTCTCCCCTTCATTCATTTACAATACACAGCCAAAACTTTGGCAGTCTGGGTTTAGTCTGTTCCAGAGCAGTCTAATCCAGTGAAAGGAACCCAGAGCAGACAGAGGACCTCAGTTCTGGAGGTGGTGTTTGTTTTGGTTTGTTTTTTTCTTTTTTTAATCTCAGGACCTGAACATTCCTTTCAATTACATTACCTTGGAGGCAACTGGCACTCTGGTATTTAAACGTCACAGGCCTGAATACTAAATAGAAGGTACTATAATATCCTTGTTTATTTTTCCTTTATTCTTACCATCTCCTTTTGCTCTTGATKTCAAGTAATTTTACTCCATCTCTAAACTTTGCTCAATGCTCTTTTATTTTCCACCATTTCTCTCAGACACCACTGCTTGCTCTTCAAAAACCTCCATGGCTTTCTGTTTACCTATTTTTCCAATATTTTCCTGTCTTCTCCCATGCTGCCCTCATTGAATACTGACATACCTCCTTTTCTTAGCCTAATGCTCTCCAAAAATTTATTTTTGAATGAAGTTCATAGATATTAAGCAAGTGAAGTTCAGAGATACCAAGCAGGATCAATCAGACTTATAAGATGCCAGAGAGTGTAGTTAGCTGGTCATCTCTTCTGAGTATTCCTATGCTGCTGATACTGTACCTGTCTATTTTTAGACCAAGAGCTCCCACGGCTTGTGATCATTTGCAATCAGTGCGCAAAACTTTTTCACACTGATTGAGGCCATAAGCAGTTAAATAGTTAAAAAAGAACACGCAAGGAGATCAAAAAGATTGAGTTTCCTTCAGCACATTACTTGGTCAATATTGTTCCCCTAGGGACTCCTGTTTTAATCTTTCTGGGCATATATAGAAAGTTCCTTGCTTCTTCAAGCACAAAAATCACAAATATGTGTGACCAATGCTACTGCAACTTTTCTACCTCAAATTTGATCTAAGACAGTAAGAATTGATTTTACACAATGAAGTTCTTTCCTTCAGCCACCATTCTTTAAGCAAAGCCTAAACCTTACAGGTTCAGTGCTATGAAAATGAGGGGGAGGAAAATCACTTTCTTGAGTAGAAGGAGACTTGTTAAATGACTGACTCTGCAGAAATCTTCCCTTGAAGAATGAGGAGAAATTAACTATGAGCTACTGCATTTAAYTGCTCAGTTTTGTTGCCTTCTATCATGCAAACACATAAAGAGACACACACACACACAACTATTCTCTCTGCCATCTCCATTCATTTTATAAGCTATTTACATGCCTCCAGAAAATAAAAAACCCTTTTTTCCCCCCCCATAGGCTCCTAAGAATAGTAGCAGGGTGTAGCAAGTGTTACAAAGCCTAAGCCACAAWGCTCCTCTTCAGCAAGCCTTAGAAAACTTACCTACAAGTCATTACAAATAAGCTTTCAACTTCAATCCATGCCCACAGGAAAGTGTCCCTGGTTCTGRTTTCTTTTGCTCTCAAATAAGTGCACTCAGCTTTAAATTCCCTGGATGGCATACATTACATGAAGAGGTTATGGTCCTACCTTCTCCCAGGTACACTTCCCTCAGTTTGATTATTTCCACCAACTTGCTGCATCTTGGATCGTTCAATGTGTTCCACATAGGTCTGGATCATCTATGAAGGGGGAAATATCCATGAGTCAAACAGAAGACAAGAAAAGACTCCATTTCTGGTTTTGATTGATCTTCTCCAGCATCCATTTCTAATTCCCTTTTTTTGGCATGCATTCTTGTCTTTGCTATTTTTTAAGCAAGTGACTCAAGTGAATGTATTAATTGGACAGAAAACAGGGTCAAAAATGACAAAAGTTTAATACTGTAACAAGAGATTCACAAAATAGCGTAWCCAAAATAATGAAAAAATGCGTCCTTTAGAGTAGTAGGCAGTGGGAAAAGAGGTAGTGGAGCACTGTTTAGGAGTTTCAGAAGCTACAGTCATCACTGGTATTGTACAGCTCAACTCTTTTACATCATTTTACATATGAGCAAGAGTTTCTTTTCTTAGGGAAAAAAACGAGACGACAGCCTACCTCTGTGTGACGTTGGTGTAGAGCATTATATTCTTTCTTCATTTCAGATTCCCGTTCCTCCAGCCGTGAAACTACCAAGAAACAATTCCAACTGTTAGCTCACATACACATTAGACTCCCCAAAGAAATGAGAAGATTCCCAAAGTTTATATTTCAAAAGAGACACACTTTGTTCCTACTGCAAAATAGAGCAGCAGAATAATGCACATTATGGAATCTGATTTTCATTGCAAACTTAATTTGTGGTACCRATATGTTCCTAAGATGAGCACACCAAACAGTGTAATGAGAGTTCAGAAGCAGCAGACAACTGGTGCCCTACAAATATACTAATCTGATGACAGTTCAAATTATGTTTTTGTTGGGCTCCTCTAGCTATTTGGGGAACAAAAAATACTAAACAAAACACCAATTACTTCTGATGGGCATCTGAGAAACCAGGATCTGAAGCTTCACCAATGGCCCAACTAGCACAGCTGGAGAGCCTGGACGTACTTCATAGAGCAGAAACAATGTGGCCTCTACCAAATCAATGGTAGATGCCTCACATCCTTCAGATGGCTCACAAGGTCCTACCAGCATAAGCAATGGCTGGAGATTCCAGGCTTTGCATGTATTACTTCTAAATATATTAAAAAAAAAAAAAAAAAACCAAGAAATATTTCAGAGTAGCTGTACATATTCATAGGAAACCACCTATAGAATCATGACTGGTGCACAACATGGCTTACTCTGATCTGCATAGTTTTTGGTCTTCAGCTCCAGCTGTCGAGTCTGAAATTCAAGGTGTTCCACTTGGATTTGTAGTTCTTTCTTCTCCTGCTCCAATGCATCTTCAAACTCTATAAACTTCTAAATAGGGAGGAAGCAGAGAAAAAGTCAAGTGTAAGAACTATGCATGTTTTGCCTGTGAAATTTTTCTCTTCTCTCACAAAATATGAAAATTTAAGAGAATAAATTACACTACAGGAATTATGATTTTTTAAGTAACAGAAGTAGYAAAATAGCATTTAATAGAATGAACAGAAGCATTTAGCTGAACAGGAAGTTTTCTTAGAGAAAATAGTAACTGTATTTAGTGTATAATGATATATAAACTGTGGCCTAATACAAGTTACATGAGCGAAAGCAGTATTGCCCTCTCATATGCCAGGATGATTTCTGATTTAAGGACAAAAAAGATAAGCTCTTATCTACTTTCCAAAGCTTGGATCAGAGATGAGAAAGGTTAGAAAACAATGCAAATAAAGGCTAAGGGCTAAGGCTAGACAACTGATAAAGTTAAATGACAGAAATTATGTAATTTTCAATAAAAAGTGACTCTAAGGATTGCGTGTAACTTTAATGACTGAATCAACAGAAAATCCTCARAAGTCTTATTTATTTCCATAAATTGAACAGAAGCCTGAAGCAGCATGGAAACAGAGAAGACAAAAGGAATTTTTGCATTTTAATGAAACTGTGTGGGATGAGAATCCAGTGAGCTGCCCATTGGCCAGAAACCACTGAGTGCAGCCAAGTTGCTCAGGTCTTTTCTCCAACTAGTCCTTCCCCTCCTGCTTTGGGAGCCAGGAACAGGCGGGGAGCCCAAGGCAACCTCAGCTCCTGCAGACCATGAGCTGCCCCAGCACGAACTTGAGAAAGCCTCTGCAACAGTGGAATCAAAGGAATGAAAAGAAAAACAGGACAGAAAAATACCTCAACTCAGGTTTCCATAAAATTCCACTTTGAGCTTGAGAGTTTTAGCAATTCCTAACATTGGTTACTATCAGAGCAATAAGCAGCAGGTGAAAGAGCAAAGCATCCGAAACATTCAGTTTTGCAAAACCGGAGAGGATCCCTGCTGGTGTTACGTGACTGCTGATAAACTGCTGTTGCAGGAGCTTTCATGAAACATTCAAATCAAAAAGGATACCTGAAAAGTAAATACCAGCTCCAAATCTCTGAGTACATTTAAGTCAACGTAGTTCTTGGGTTACAATTGGACCTTTTTGTGCAAAATACTGTCCAACTGCAATAATGACACACAATCCACAGCGCACACACTCAGGTAACAGACTGGGTCTAATAGCATTAAGACAAAACTTCTTAGAAAAAAAGACATTTTCCTAAGAAAAAAAATCCACATTGTTCAAAAAATACATGGTGTTTGTTTCATTAATCACGAACATCCTCCCTACGTAAATCAAGTCTAAAATCCAATACAACCACACTTACAACGAAGCAGAACACTAAAACTATCTCATCGGTTTTACAACAAATCCTATCTTGGTCTTAAAAATAAATAAATTCCATGTGCTGAGCCTCATTACATTATTCCTACAGAGATAAATCTAAGGAAGCTAAAATCACTGCAATAGGTCTCCTCCTAGAGATTACACATGCATATAATCACACCATATGCTCTTTTTGCTCATTTTATGTATTTCTCAAAAAAAATAAATCAGTCCAGCTACGTCTTTTTTCAAACACAAGCCAGTTATCAAACAGGCTGAGTTGTCTGCACTAACTAGCCCAGTAATTAAAGCATAAATCTGTCCCCCTGAGCACTGGGAACAAGACTCGATACTYGAGCATTTGTGCAATTCTACAATAGAAATACGACTCTATGTCATGCGAGCTGCAGAGCCCATCAGATTACCTTGCCAGGCTCCCAATAGTCTTTTGCCTGCTTTGGAAAATGAGTTAGTTATGCACTAACGGGCTGTCAAACCTCATTAGGAAACTCAGGGCCCAGATTCAGAGCTGCAAAGCAAGAGAGGGAGGAGGAGGAAGAGAAGATGCCTTTAATCTTCCTTTAGGATGTTTTATAGAACAAGAGGAGGCCTCGGGAGGTAAGGCAGACCGTGAAGAGCAGCCAACAACTCAGCACTGCGCTTTACTCGGTCACACACTGGCTGCTTTTTAGTCTATTTGCAAAATAGACCTTACACTGGGTCTTGACACACACAGCATGCTGCGATTTCCTGTTAAAATAGTGAAAATTGGGGGAGAAAAAAGACAGCAACAATCTGCAATGRTGGAAAATACTGTAGAAAAAAAATAAGGCCACTCAGCAAAGCAGAGGACTCACCAGCTTCAGCAGTAAATGATCCATCTCTTTACATTCTGTAGTGCTATAAATCTGAGTAATTTTAATTTAGCAAAGTTAAATGGCATTGGATTGTACAAGTCAGATGCAGGGGAAACAATTTTTAGGCTAGATTCCCAGAGAAACAGAYGCAACAAAATGCACAGTAATTTTATCACTTTGATTTGTTAAAATTCTGCACATAAAACAGCATCAGCAATATTCCGCTGTAGCAGCAGGACGACGCATGAACATTTCCTGTTACTTTTAGTGGGAACAGCAATAACACAAGAGCCATCATTAAGGGCGAGAGCTTTGTCTTCTCTCTGTAAATAGCTGAAGGGCTACATCATTTATGATTCCTGCCCACTTTTGTTACTGCTCAGTAAATTCCTCTGAACAATGAGTCGGTTCTCATTCCTGCATTGCTGTATTTAAAGATATAAATACGTTTTAGCCATGTCTAATTTGCTGCACTCAGTGGTCTGCASTGCCTTAAATCTAATAGGGCTTTTATCTTTCCTTCCTCTGCACTCCARATTTATTACAAAAAGATTTTTTTTCCTGCTRTTCCTACTGCTGTTTTTCTAGAAATATTTCCTAGAATTATCAGGAATGCCAATACTCTTCTTCCACCATATTCTTAAAAGGATTTGACTCTGAGACTGTGTTTTTCATTAAATACTTTTTCATTAAATTCTAWGAGCCTACAAGGATGTAGGTTTTAGTAAGTATGATTTTCTCTTAAATATCAATAAAACATTGAAACAGTCACTAGTAAGTGTCCAACAATCTGCTTTACGGCTATTGCAAAGGCATCCTACAGAATCACTATGTCACTGAAGAAAAGAGAAGAAGAAAACACAGCCAACACCACTGCACTGAGCAACAGCCCTAGAGAAGCAGCAGCTTAACTTGCTCTGTTTGGAAGTCTGCTTCCAACCAACAGAAAAGCTGTTTTCCCGGGATAATCTCCATCTCCTCTCAGGGGTTTGCTGGAAGCACTCTGTGCTAAAGCTCTGTTGACGAACCTTTTTAATTATAGCCCTGGTCTAAATCCCTGTCACTTCTCCCTTGTTCAGCTTTCACTCTCTTAGATTTTGAACTGGCCTCGGTTTGCTAGATCTCCATTCAGGAGCATCACACCCAAGGCGGGTAGGAATTACACTTTCAAGTGACAATTAAAAAAAAAGAACATTAAAAAAAATCCAAAATATTTCAGATTTCTTGACAGTAAATTAGGAAGAAAAGGGAGGYACAAACAAATTTATGCGCACTATGTAGGTCATCTTTAATAGGATTCGTGGATTTTCTRCTGTTACTTTGGTTTAATTTAGAGAAATTCAGAGATTAAGTTTGGGCATCAGGAAGGGCCCGTGGCTGCAAGCAAGGAAAAGTGAAGCTCCATGGAGGTGGCTGCATCCCTCAACAGCCTGGGGGAAGAAGCGTTTCGTGCAGGAGCATTGCTAAGCAGGGCACACTCCCAGCAAGGACAAGGCTCAGGATGCATCAGCACCTCCTCTCGGTTTGCACGGGATGAGGGAGCTCCCATGAGGGCATCCAGGCRAGCCCTAGTTTTTCCCTTCCTTTCCCCAATGGGTCAGACATTTCATGTAACATCCATGGAAGGACGYGGCAGAGATGGAAATGACCTTGCTCAGCGACACAAGCGAATCCACAAGCGGTGCCAGGTGTTTGGGAACGGGCACTCCAGGTGTATTTGCATTACTCTCCTGTGAAAAGCAGTCTCTAGAGGTGGCTTCGGTGAAAGTAACTTGCCAGCTGCCTCCCCTGGCGCCCAGGAAGCCCCGCTATTGCACAGGGCTCTGTGCACCGGCTCCTGCTTTCGTACGTTATCAAAAACACTTGCACTGACGCAGGGAAAATAAACAGAAAACACAAATTAAATAAAACTTCTTTTAATAAACAGCCTTGTAGGGGTGGTTAAACTCTAAAAAACAAGCACATATTACTGAGTGAAACACAGCTTGAGGGCACAACTAATTTGAAGGTTTTCCAGTCATAATATTTACAAAGAGCACCAAAAGCAGTTACCACAAGAAACAAATACCTCAGTTTTACTGTTTCTTCATTAGTGTTTTCATCAAAGCTAGTACACAGCCAGTCCTACCTAGGTGCTAGAGGCAGATGCACAAAGATGAAGCTTCTCATCTCTGGGGCAGCTAACAAAAAAAAAGCAGCATGGGGCTTCATAAGCAAAAAGAAACTACTCATATAAATCACAGCTGTACCCATGGCCTTAGAACAACCTCCAAAGGTTTAYGGAAAGCAGATATTAAGAGACTACTCTTGCTTCATTGTAAGTCTAACCATGAAAGGGGGAAAAAAAGTGAATAAAAGAATTAAGTCTAGTCTTACAGTCTTCAAAAGACAGATTTAAAAAATGAAATAGCTTAAAAAGAAATGTCAAGAAATTAAAATAGCCAATGMATTAAAAAACTGAAAAGCAAATTTGCTGAATGCATTCCTTCATTTTAGAGCTAAGGAAGAAAAAGCAGCAAGCTCTGGCTAGGCAACACGGGCAGGACTTGCTGCCATGGGCTGCCCTTCATTTTGCAGAGTCAGGTGCTGTGATCGATTTTCTCCCGTTGCTGCACGGCAAGGAGCTCAGATCTGACACAAACCTCAGCAAGTTTACAACTCCCAGCTGTATTTCTACAGAGATGGAGCAAAGACATTTAGAGACTGGGAACAAGGAGCACTAGATAGCCAGGCTTTCCACAGCTTTAGAATTTTTTAGAGAACATTTGCACATGCTTTT